CTCTAACTTCCCAGCACTAATACCCACCCAGAACCTCAACCATGTGCACAAAAGCTGGACAAGGAGGGAGGAGGAGACTCCACGCACACAAGCTCAACTTATCCTTGCAAATAATGCTGTCTTGCACATGTAAGATATTCAAAACTGTTATCTGTTTTAAATTATATCAAGTTACTATAAAGAAGACCAACTTTAAAAAGAGAACAGTTAATATTGGTTCAGGTAAAGTTCAGTCTAAACCAATGTGTTTACTGCACCAAGCTTTACGGAATCACTTAAGATAGCAATATTAGAGAATGCTCTTGGAGCCCTTCAGAACAACAGAAGAACATTATTTTTTCTCAACTTGACATCTCCAAAGAGTACAATGTTGATAACTCAATTAAATCTCTTGACTCACTAACATGCAAAACATTTGAATACTACAGACAAACATTATAACTTCAGAACCCATGAGAATTTGTTTCAAATGACCATTCATATTCCAATATAGCAGTTCCATACTTTCAGGCTGCACAAACTGTTGAAAAGTGCATGCAATATTCTCAACTCCTTCAGGTCTTTGACAAAAGAGAAAGTGAGCTACTGGCCGGTCTAATTAAGAGGTGCTAAGCTTTGACCAAAGTAATAGAACCAAATGTAAACGTCTGTCAAGTACCCTCTGATGTTTTGTTAAACATCTGTTTTTCCTACTTCATTTCCTGTTCTCTCTTTCTCTCCCTCCCCCACCGGACAGGAAATTGTCTTGACAACAAATGAATCAGCTAGAAGTGGAACTAAGCAGCCATCAGCTGATTCCTCATTGTTTACAGTCACAGACACTTCAAAAAGCCTTGATACTGTTTGCTTCCTAAGTGACCATAGCTGTTGTAACTTCATCTCATTAAAATAAACGTTCAAACACAAGAGAACAAGCTCTTTGAAGAGCCAAGTGATGATTTATATCTTGAGATAGAAAAATCAAAACAAGAAACACTTTACTCAAAGCAACTGAAATCATAACAACATGTATTGTGGTGTCAAGTCACAGGATCCACCAACCTTCTATTTCTAGGTTTATCTTTTTAAAAAAAAAAAAGCCACCCAAAGAGAAAAAGCTCTAAATAAAATCCCAAACAGCAATACAAATGCATTTGCTCTTTAAAAGCCATCTGGAAAAGCAACAGTATTGTTCATGGTCTATAGCAGCCTCTATATTCTTGTAATGTACTATTACAATGCCAACTCCACATTATTATTAGTGCATTTTATTTCTAAACTTCTCTTCCCTCAAGAACACCTAACTCCTATAAACACAGAGACTGTGAGAAGTATTTCAAGGTTGAAATTAGTATTCAACATAGGCAGTTTCTACAGAAACTGACCTATTTTAGGACTGTGACAGGGTTTATATTTTATCAGTTAGGTACGTTTAATAGAGTTTTAAAATTCAGTACACCAAATCTTAGCCTCAATACTTTTGGGCTGCCTATCTCACATTCTACAACAGAATAAAAAAAAGTTCCGATTAGTATGACGTTTGAGATAGCATGCAAGCAGCTTAAAAGTAAACAAAAAAGAGAAAACAAGAACTATGGACAACCAACTCCATAGTGAAAGATTACACCACTACAATTAGTCCAACTACACAGCTCTGAAAGAGTTCAAGTGTGCCTCTTACCACAATTGCATGCGGAGAATGCACTAAGGCCTTAAGTTCATTCAGGTCGTTCTCAGCCTGCAGAAATCGGCATAAGAGAAAAAAAAGTATATAAGGAGGGTGAATTTTGAATTCTCTCACAGATACTATAATTTCAACAGTGGTTAATACAGTCCTATAAGCCCTACGTTACCTTATCCCATTCTCCTTCCATGACATGATTGCGGAATTTGGTAGCTGAAGGATGTTCTAAACGACATCCTGACTCTTGCATGAGGAGATCAACAGTCTGGCTGCAGGAGAGATACAGTGTAAAAAAACCCGACCAGTTTCACCCTCACAAATACACCGCCTGCTATGACAACAGTTTACCACACTTTAAAGTAACTTTAATAAAACAAGAATACGATGACCAGATTCAGATGCTTGTTCAAGAAGGTGATCTCAGTTGCCTGAGACATGTAAAAAGCTACCTCTACCTAAAGCAAGTTGTCAAGGAGCTTGAAAGCTTTGCTGAAGTACCATAAAGTATGTGACTTACCAGCCACCACAAACAGCCAGCCCTGCACAGAAGATAAACTTCATGAAGGGAGATACAGTCTAGAAAGCTGTCAGCTACTGGCTGCCATCCCCTGCCCCCTCCCTACCTCCCCCCTAAAAGAACAAGGAGAGCTACAACATCTGGCACAGGCCTAATTTTTTCTTCTTCATCACTTCTTAAAAGACTGCCTCCTTAAAAAAAAATAAACAAACTCAGGAACCTGTAGCCCTCCCCCTTTTATACTAAAAATAGCTTATTTACTGTGGTGTCATCTATGAATAGTCACGAGTTGTCTGCTGCTGTAAACTTGCCTCTTGTGTCAGAGGCAATTTATTTTATGGAATATGTTCTTTATAGCTGACCCATTCTGCAGTGTTTTGAAGACTTCTTTTGTGGCTACATAAGCACTTCGCAGGACTTCTCTACCCTCCTTCCAAAATGATGACATACTGGCTAGCTTTAGCTTTACTCACAAAGCACTATGATTAAACACTTAAGACTTCCCCTATTCCACGGGGAAATTATTTTCTCCATTCTGATTTTAAGGAAGGGCCAACATTCTCATTTCTTGTTTACAAGTAAGATTATTAGCAAAAACACGCACCCAGCACAAATCTTGAGAGGCCTTCACAATTTAGAGGGCCAAAGGTTTCCAGAGCGAAACCAATCGGCCTGCTTTAAGTGGCAGTTTACTTTGTGTCGCTTCCTCCGAGCTGACAAGCCAAATCTTGGAGCTCATCTGCGAAAAGCCGCCCCCCCACGCCCAGCTGCGGGCTCCATTATGTTTACCAGATAACTTCTCCCCCACTAACACATTTGTATTGATCTACCCTTATCGGTGTGCAACTCGACTTCCATATTGCCATCCCTGGCAAGGGAACCTCCTGTCCTGTCCCTTCGCTAGACACCGGCACGGGCTTGGAAAACACAGCTCCGGCTCCATTTTTCCGGCAGCGGGCCTGCCCCACCGCTCTGCCTCGCAGCCGGGCACTGCTCTCCCCTCGCCGGAGACCACCGGGCTGCGACACCGGGGCAGTTCTGGCCACCAACCCCCGCTCCCCGCCGGGGGTCCCTTCCTCTCCCCTCCTCCTCCCCGCTCCGGGCTGCCCATCCTCCACCGGGACCCCGCGCCGGACCCTCCCCGCGGACGGAGCGGAGGGCGGCGGGGCGTATGTGCGGGGCTGCCCCGGCCCCGGGGGGACCCTCCGGTCAGGGTGCCGGAGGAAACGAAGGAAGGAAGGAGCCTGTCCCCCGCCCCGGCCGCGCTGCCCCTCGCCCACCGCGGCCACTTACTTGAGCCCCAGCCCGTGGAGGTGCTGCCCGATCAGCCGGATCACGTCCTCGTCAGACTGCGAGAGCCGCTTCTTCTTCTTCAGGGCGCTGCCGCTGCCGCCGCCGCCCCCCAGTTCGGCGGCGGCCGGGCCGGGCCCCCCGGCGGCGGGCACCCCGTTGTTGACGCCGAGCCCGCCGGGGCTGCCGCCGCCGGGGCCGCCGCTGTTGGCCGAGGGCAGCAGCCCGCGGAGCGGGGCCCTGCGCCCGCCGGGGGTCCCGGAGGCAGCGCCGCCGCCCGCTCGGGGCTCCCTCTGGCGATGGCGGCCGCCGCTGCCCTGAGCCCCCGCCCGGCAGCCCCAGGCGCCCGGCCCGCTCCGCTCGCTGCCCGCCGGGTTTGTCTCCTCTCAGCCCAGCTGCACCTAATGGAGTCCGGGCCGGGACGTCACAGGAAATTCCTGCACTGCCCCCTACACACACTTCCGCCGCCCGGGGCTGCGGTGGGCACGGCCCCACGGCTGCCGGGGGGCGGCGGCGGGGCGGCCCCCGGCGGGGACGGGGACGCCCCAACGGCACCGCCCGGCTCGCCGCCCGCCCGCGCGGGGTCCCGCGGCGCCTGAGGGGGCCCTGGGCGTCGTGCCCGAGGGGCCCCCGGGGGTCTCGGGCATGTGCCCGGTGTGTGCCCGCGCCGGGCTGCGAGAGGGGCGAGGGTGGTCCCGCAGGAGGTGCGGTGGGTGCCCGCTGCCACGACGTGTCCCGGTGGGACCGGCCGTCCCTGGGACACCGTGCAGGTGACCGGGTAATTTCCGGCCTCAGGTGGTTTCCTGATGCAGTTTGGACGGGGAGAAATGGGTGCAAAATGAAAGAGGAGGAAATTAGGTTGGGTGTGTGGAAGAAATGCTTTTATGTGAGAGTGATGAGACACTGGAGCAGGTTGCACAGGGAGGCTTGGATGCCCCGGCCCTGGATGGGCTTTGAGCGAGCTGGTCTAGTGGAAGGTGTCCCATCCCATGGCAGGGGTGTTTGGAATGGGATGGTCTTTAAGGTCCCTTCTAACCATGATCCTACAATTCTGCATTTGGGAGTTTGTAAAAAAGGAAAGTGAAGTCGCATCCTGGTGTTGCACAGGTTGGTCACTGCAAGGTTTCAGACCTGCTGACGGTCTTGTCTCTTGTAGTCGCTGCATGCATGGGCATGGAAAAAGGGGGGAAATCTACAGCAGTTTTGCTGTAGATCTCACAGGAATGTTGAGAGTTGGGGCACATTTGTCAGGACAGGCTGTCAGAAGACTGTGGGAATTTTAAGGGTCCCCGTCTCTGCCCTGTGGTCTCTCTCTGCTAACCCTCCTGTGTGGTGGAAGGCAAACTCAAATCCTGAGCCAAGCCTCTGGTCAAAAGTCATGAGATGAGTGAAATCTTGGTCTTTAAAAATAGCATCTTGAAATAATATGTTTTATGTTATTTGATTTAGAGCCTAGAATTTTTATCTTTGGTATGCTCAAACTTTTCTCCAAAACCCAAAGGGAAATAACAAAACTCTTTTTTCCTCATTGAAAGCTGAGGTTAATATCTAAACATCTTCCCCTTCAGAAGCTGAGGTTTTAGGAGTACTGGCTTAGGTTAAACTAGTAAGTTTGAACAACAGTGCTTTGTTTTGAGCGGAACTTTGAAAAAGTCCAACTGAGGGAAGCCACAGGCCCAAGACCAGTGGAGAACTCCATGGAGGGACAAAATGCATGAAAGGAGTGAAACCAGAGAAGGAGATGAGACCTCATGGAGGCCTGGCCAGCTGAAGTAGATACCTTGGCCCTGTTTAGAGGCTGCAGAAGATATTTGGCTGATAACAGCTAAAGCACTCTTACATCAGAGGGAGAGGTTGGAAAGGGCTTCGTCCCTGACCTTTGCCCAGGTGTGGCTGTAGGGTTAAATTCAACATCAGTCTTGCAGAGAGGGGAATGTTGATTTTGTGTTTTTAGCTCGCCAACCATTGCTGGAGAACAGAAGGCTTGTGTTTTAGTCACTTCACTGCTAAATATACTCTCATTTCCATTGTTCTGTGTTTTCAGCATTCTTGACTTCTTTCTTGGTCTTCCCCAGATGCCATCACTGCATCCATAATTCAAAGACTTGGGTAAAGATGACAGGAACAGTTACAGAGAGCAGCACAGACCCTTTGAAGGCACCTAAAAGTGAACTTTAAAGATCAAGACTAGGTTTTCACGAAGGTAAAGTTGCTCATCATTCTTTCCTGCCCTGTGCCTCAGTGTCCAGGGGAAGGAGATGGTAAAAACCCCTTCCCACCATCTGCTCCTGTTGTCCCTTGTCACCTATGCCTTTCCTGGTTGCAGAGGTGGTTTTTACTTCTCCTAGACTTGCTCTAGTTACCAGGAGGGGATCTTGGAAGACAGGTCTGGGTCTGGCACAGTCATAGGAAAAAGAGAATTGTGAAAGGGGTAATGGCACCATGCTTTGTCAGTTTTTCATCAGCTAAGCCCTGATTTGGATCTGATTCTATTCTGCAGCCAGATGAGAGAGGGCAAATTTAATAAACCAAATAAGTGTGCAGCTTTTTGAGCAATTAGAGAATCAACTGGTAAATACAAAACATGTCTCACTTGTGACAGATGACTCTATTACAATAACAGAAGTATGAGTTCATCCTATTCAGGCATCTTTAAAGTTTCCCAAAAGTAGGGAATTAATTCTCCAATTCAGCTATAAAAAATGACAATCTTATAAACACCCAGAAGATGAATTTTGAAGAGAAATTTTGGCAACCTTAAATACAGTTGTAGTACCAGCCATGTTACTGAAGCAGAGTTTCAATACATAAGTGTGCAGAATATGTACAATTCTGACTATATTGTATTTCAGACAACTACCTATTGTATAGTTCCACATCTCTAATAGAAAAAATGTTGCAGAAATACTTCTTATTTATTGTGATAGTTTAGAAAACCAAAGAGACCAATCACTCTCTGTCAAAAACAATAAATGAAATTACTGATGTAGAATATTTTTAACTAGTGTTACTCTTAAGTGTAAGAAATCTGACTTGGGACATTCCAGACTAAATACAGAGGATGCTTGAGAAGCAAGAAACACTTCCATTTTCTTGGTCTGGAAAGTCAGAAAAAACAACCATTAAATTTCTTGTTTATGAGCTGGCTAGAACTAATAAACTTTGGCTAATTTAGGTCTTTTTTTTTTTAACTTTTTTTCCCCACCATTTTGTTTTAGAGGAGGATGGAGCACATAGTCCAGATCTGAATAATAGGAAGGAACTCTCATTAAGGGCCTGGGTTATTTGATAATAACCATGTGAGGCTGCTTCAGCAGAGCTGTAATACTACAAAATATTGGAGAAAATCCTCGAGAGATGGATTAGCAGTCAAAGCTGAATGCTGAAGGTAGTTAATTGTTTGATTCCCTATCAGGTGTGTATACTTTCCCTTTTCTTCTGCATCAAATTTGAGGTTACTGGAAACAAACCAACTAACAACAAAGAACAAAGGAAGAAAGAATAATTTAGAACAATCACATTTTCCACAGTACCAGCTAAATAAGTGCTTGAACAGGCACCTGGATATGCTTGCCACTTCCAAAAAATGAGATAAGGATGAAAGATAAGCACCTTCCTTAAACAGCATTTTTAGAAATCATTCACCAGATAGTAAGCATATTACACTGGTGTGAGATTCTTCATCACTTCATGCAGAGGAGGATGGTCAGTATTTTAGTGGAGGAGTGGAATATGGAAAGCCAAAACCTGGCTGGAGTTGCAAATGAAGGACGTGAAGGGCAACATAAAGAGCTTCTACAGGTGATTTGGCAGCAAAAGGAAGACAAGTGAATATGTGGGCCTGCTGCAGGACTGGGTGATTAAACTGGCCATAAAGGTCAAGGAAAAAGAAGAGACCTCTTTCATCTTGGGCTTTGCTGGGAAAAAACCCTTTCCCATCTCCCAAGCTCCTGTGGCTGGTAGCAGGGGTTGGGCAGAGGAGGGAAATTCCCCACAGAACATCCACTCTGTCACAGTGGGCATATACAAGTCCACTGGACCACATGATCAACACTCATTTGAGTGTTGAGAGCTGGCCAGTTAATTTTTGTGCTCACACCCTGTGACATTGGAAAGTCCATGGCATTTAAAGACTGCAGGTGACTGAACAAAGGCTAATGTTACATGTTTTAGTTCAGTTGTGTCTGACCCAGTGTCACTGACTTTGGACTTAGTGAGCACAGGGAAAGCAGAGGATGTCGTTCAAGCTTGTCTTTGTGAGGGCTTTTGCTGGACTTCTCAATACTCTTATAACTGGGGAGATGTGGGTGAGGTGGGCAGACCCTGGGTGTGGAAAACTGGCTGTACCCCCAGGCTTGTGTGTCATTGGTTTGAAGTCTTGTCTGATGCCCCGTTAGGAGGGGTCAGGGATCAATACTGGAGCGAGTCTTGTTTGGCAAGGTCACCGTGCAGGGGGTGGTACAAAGTGCACCCTCAGCAAGTTTTCAGCTGCTCCCCTTGCCAAGCTGGGGATGCACAGGAGGCCACCAGTCAGAGCAGGCTTGCCAAGCTGCAGGAGTGGGCCAGTGAGAACCTCGAGTTGGTCAGCAGAGACAAGGGCAAAGTCCTGAATGTGGGACAGGCTGCAGGATGCTACAGGCTGAGAACCAGCTGGCTTGGAAGTAGCCCAGCGGAAAAGGGCCTGGCCATCCTGGTGGACAAAAGAAATTCCTCATGGGATTTCAGCACCTGCAGGGCTGCATTCTCCATATAGCCAGCAGACAGGAGCTCTGTGTGCAGCACTGGTGAGGCCACACTGCATACACACTGTCTAGTTTGGGAACAGCCAGTTCAGCAGAGGCTGCTGAGGCTGTAAGGGGCTGAAGCACATGCTGTGTGAGGAAGTGGGTTTGGCCACAGTAGGATCTAATTACAATGTGCACCTTCCCAAAGAGAATTATAGGGAAGATGGCACAAGGCTTCTCTCTGAGATAGTCACCAACAGGATGAGAGATAAAAGTGAGAAGCTGCAGCCAGAGATACACCAATTGTGTGTAAGAAAACAAAAGTTCAAAGTGAGAGTGGTCAAGTAGCAGAACATTTTCCCTGAGTGGCTGTGGATTTTTCCATCCTTAGAAACAAAACTAGAGAGGACAAGACTTTGAGCAACTTAGTTTATCAATCATTGAAGATAGCTGTGGAGAGAGCAGGAGGTTGAAACAGTGACCTTCAAAATATCTTGCCCAACTTTAATTTTGCTGTGATTATAAATATACTTTCTACAAGACTATCCTTGTGTTGGTGGGGAACAGTATTGGTGACTGGATAATTGTCATGTCTCAGGGGTTACTGATATTACATCCCAAAGCTTCAGTACAGCCATCATGTTGCTTTGTAGCTGAGCTTGCATAGTGAGGATAAGGGCAGTAGTGCTATTGTTGCAACCTAATTAAATATTAGGTAATCACACAGTGTCTCCTGTCCACCAAATTCATGTGCATACACTGATGTTGACCTCTGCACTCTCCTGGGTAAGCACAGCGTGCTGTGGTCACAAAAATAAATGTCACAAAGTGCCAGGGATCCCATGTGGTACAGAATGTCCTGTTTAATACAGGGTGTGTTGTATCATTACATGGTCAGTGCAGTTTCTCATAGGAAGTGCATACATGGCATGGATTTCCCTGTATTTCCGTTGCCATAGGTGTCTTTCTGGATGTGCAGAATGTATTGGGAGAGCTCAGACTTTTCTGTAAGGACAGATAAAATGTGCATGTTCAAGGGGTGTGCTGCCAGATCGGTACTTACTGTGGAAGTTCTCTGAGCAAGACAATATTGCATATGCTGTGAACCTGACATGTCAGACTTGCTATGCATGCAGGATCTGTCTGTCTGGGACTATTCTAGATATCACCTTGCAGAATCTGTCTATGTATCCTCTGATGGATCAGGCTTTTTCAGATATATTTAGAAGTCAGGTGTGGCCAGGATTTGAAAAGGCAGTAGGCCACCATGTCAGTGCTGCAATGGATTGCACTGGACAGAATAACAGCGTGCTTGGATTTTTCTCTTTTTTTTCCTCTTCATCTTGATAGGTGTAAATGCTACTCTAACACTTATGAAATCCCCTTCTGACCACTGTGTGCAGCAGGAGCTGGCAGATATTCCACAGAAAAGCCAATCACTGATTTTATTCCATGGAGGATTCCAAGCTTCTTGTTTCTTGTGGTCTGTGTTCTTTAATATCGGCGTGTTGATTTCATGTCCAGGTCTCAGATGGGTTTTCAGTGTTTTTATGTGAGATTAGATTTGTCCTGCTGTTGTTGCAGTTATTTTACTTTTCCTACTTGAGGACTGCTCCCCTGCCTTTTATTTTGTGCTGGGCTCTCAAGGTAATTGTTATTTCAGGCTTGTTAATTGTGTCTGCCAACTCCCACATAGCTCCTAGAGCCTAACCCTGAGTGGGATGGCACACCACCTTCTATTGCCTATCCTTGGAATTAGGACCTGTCTCTCCCAGAATGACATGTACACTTGGCCTTTCTCTAGGCAACTGCAATGAGCTCTCACACCTGGAACTAAACAGTCAAGACCAGGCATGCAGACTGCAGTATCTCATATCCACTCTGGAATGGGCAGAGGGGAAACTATTACGTAATCACCAGAAGATTACATCTTAACATTAGGCTTGTGAATAGCTCCTTGGAGCCCTGGGATTACTTACTAATTTTTTCCCCTTCTTAATCAGAAATATATGGTGTTCCAATCCCATGTTTAAAAAAGCAAGTGAACCAGACCCTCCTTACTCTGGGCAAGAGATTAAAGGCTAGTGTCACAAGAATGTCATTGCACTATTTAAGTGCCCCTTATTTTAAGGGAAATCATTAGTTTTTCTTGTAACTGTACCTTTACTTAAAATACAACTTCCTGTGCAAGCTCCTCCTCCGTTGTTGGTGAGTAGCATTTACATGACAAATAAAGAGCCACAAAATTAGAGAAAATATTCCTTTTTGTGGCTCCATAGATTTATGTAGTAAAAAGTCTTCACTACTTCATCTAATGTTTTCTGGTACATCAGCTCTGGCTCTTAGTCTCAGACTTAAGACCTCAGGAAGTTTCAAATACCTACTCTGATAAAGAACTCAAGGCATCAGCACTAGTCCAGCACAAAAATACTTTTTCTGCATGCTTGGAAGAGGGTGTTGTTCCAGGACTAGACTGGCC